CCCCCCGGAGCCTCCTGGCCGGCCGCGATCTCGCGCTCGGCCAGCACCGCAACGGCCGCGGGGCAGCCGGCGCCCCCCGCGCCCGCCGCGGCGAGCGCGGGGAAGTCGCAGAGGCTCAGCGCGGCGGCGTTGGGGCGGAAGGACGAAGAGCACGAACAGACCAGGAAGCTGCAATAGAGGTAAGTCGGGCCTGTCCCCCTACAGGGGGATTTTCGACGAAAAATAAAGAATACCCAACAAATAATCGAAAAATAGTCGGGGGACTATTTTTTTAGTATTTTTGACCTTTTTGGAATATGTGTGGGGTATGTTTTATCTTTCGTCGAAAATCCACCTGTAGGGGGATACGCCCGACTTAAAAATAGAGAGCAGAGAACCCAGACATGATCGCGCCGTAAAAAGAAAAACAGGACGGGAGGTTTTCGGTCAAGCTCGGTCTCGGGGGGCCCTCGCCGGGCCTCGGGACCGTCCAAAAACGACTCGGGATGGAAAAACCCAGGGAAAGGGTCTAGACTTCCGGGGACGCCGTCCTGAAAAATCAGGACGTCGCATGTCTGGGAATCCACCTCCCTTATTCTAATCGCCCCGACACAAGAAGCCGATTAGTAAACGCCAGAGGCCGTCTAGCAAGCGCACCCAGAAAAGGAATCGAACAAGGCAGAGGGCTGCTTCGACACTGGGCGGAGAGGAGGGCGGAGGGTGGGGGAGACTCCACCTGCTCGAAGCAGGCGCCAGAAACAGCCAAGATCTACTCCATGGGGGGGGGGGCACCGAGGGCCCGAGCCATCGGCAAAACAATCCATAGGGAACGATCGCACAAACAGACCAGGAAGCTGGAAACACACATGGCCGGATTCACGTGGCTGGTTCTGGAAGCCCTGCACCCAAAAATGTTGCCATCTCTTGGAGGCGCAGATGCTGCCGCCGCCGGCTGCTTCCGGCGGCGTCCGCCGCCCCTCCGCCGAGGAAGCGACGACAACCCGCTTCGAGCCTCGAAGGCGAGGCCGTTTCTGGAACACCCGACGTGCGGGCAGCTGCCCCCAACAGGCAACCCGCAACACGCAGCGTGTCGACGCGACGCGCACCACGTGGGCTGAAAAAACGGCGGGTCTGGCACGGCACGTTCGCCAAGACGCGGCCCGACGCGTGCCGAGCCAACACGCAGCGTGTCAGCACGGGCGCTCTGAGCACGGTACGTGTTGCGCTTCAGCATGGGCGCGTCAGGGCAGCTAAGCACGTGGAAACCTAGGGCACCCTGGAGGCAAGCAGGGTGTTTCTTGGCATGGGCTTTCACTGCAGCAAGCTTCCTGGGAAGCTTGCGGAGGTCCGCGCGGATTTCTCAGATCGGCGCTGTGCCCTGCGGGGGTGTCTCCGGCGCCTCCCCTGGCGCGCTCCGCGCGCTGGGGACGGATCTGGCGCCGACCCGAGAGATCCACGCGGACCTCCGAAAGCTTATGTTTACGCAGCTCGTTCTCCTTCCAGCTGGGCTCGCACGAGTGGTTCAGGCGCGCGTGCGTCCGGAAGATCGCGGAGCCCCTGTCCGACACCTGCTGGGATGACCGTGGGGGGTGCTAAGTGGATAGGGGCGTTACAAGTGGATGCCAAGGTGGATTATATCTGGCCCACCCTGGCTTACAAGTGGGCTACACATGCCCCAAATAGCTCAGGGGTTTAGCGATCCAGGGTAAGCGGGCTCCGCCCACTTGGCGGAGTTATCTAACCCCCCAAAGTCACTCGGGGACTTTGTAACCCACTGCTAAGCCAGGTTGGGCCAGATATAACCCACCTTGGCATCCACTTGTAACCTCCCTTTTCACTCGGCAACCCCTACGGCGATCCCAGTGGACGCCCTGCCCCCCTCCTCCTCCTCCTCCTCCTCCTCCTCCTCCTCCTCCTCCTCCTCCTCCTCCTCCTCCTCCTCCTCCTCTTCCTCCTCCTCCTGCTCCTCCTCCTCCTCCTCCTCCTCCTCCTCCTCCTCCTCCTCCTCCTCCACTTGGCAACCCAATGGGGCCCCGAGATGCCCGCGTCGTGAGGAAAGCGCGGCGGGAAGCGCTTGGCCGTTCTCGGTCTCCGGGAGCCCCCGCCGGGCCCCTGGGCCTGGGACCGCCCACGACGAAGCGCCTCGGCATGGGAAGCTGGCCCCAGGGGGAAGGGGTCGGGGGCTCCCAGGGGCCCCGTGCTGAGAAATCGAACATCGGATCTGTGGGGAGGGAAGCTCATCCGCACGGGCACGTGTCGCCACGCGGCTTGTGCTCAGCGAGCCCGGGTGGCCGAAGCCGACACTGCAGCAAGCACACGGCAGACCCTGTCCCGCGCCCAAGTAGACAAAGCTGGCACCGCGGCAGACCCACGGCAAGCCCACTGCGTCCGAGGCGGCGTTTGCCCTGGTGCCCGCGGCGCCCTTCCCGAGACGCAAGGCCGCGCGTCGGAACAAACGGCGCGGCAACAAAGTTTCACGGGGGCCCGCGCGGATCTACGCCCCCTTCTCCTGGCGCGCGGAGCGCCCACTTCGGGCGTTGAGGACGTCGAAAACAGGGAGCCCTTTATTGCTGGTGGAATTTGCGATTTTGGAACCAAATCCCCTCGGCAGTTCAATGAACATGCATCGCAGATTGCGTGGTCAATATTCGTTGAATCCACTCCGAATGAACGTCGTTGATAGATCAAGTGCAAGACGGCCGTCCAGAGGACGCTTTGGACGACCCTTGCGTGGCGAACCACATCAGGGTCGCGCGTGCAACATTCGGTTGTAACCGTTCGAAGCCCGCGTCGGAAGCGACCACTAAAGTCCGGCACCGTGACCACCAACATCCGGCACTGCAATCACTAAGTTTTCGACGTGCGCTTTCCACGTGACCACTGAACCGTGCCCACGACTCCCGGCTCACAACAAGCACAATAATGAAAAGGGTCCCAAGTGAAGGGACACGCGTTTCCACGCCCATGTGGCGACACGGGGAGGAGGAGGAGGAGGAGGAGGAGGAGGAGGAGGAGGAGGAGGAGGAGGAGGAGAAGGAGGAGAAGGAGAAGGAGGTGGAGGAGGAGGAGGGGGAGGGGGAGGAGGAGGAGGAGGAGGAGGAGGAGGAGGAGGAGGAGGAGGAGGAGACATGATTTTTGGGAGGAGGCATGCCTACGGCCACGCGGGGATCCCAGGGAGCTGGCAAAGCTTGAAACAATGAAAAAGCTTGTGAGGGAACCTCGACGATCCCCGAGGTGGGAGCGCGCCAGAAGGCGGCGCCAGAATCTCTTCAAGGCGGGGCCCGGCGCCGATCCAAGAAGTCCGCGCGGACCTCCTGAAGAACAGGTTCACGCTGGACAGCATCGTAGAAAGAACTGCCTATCGACGAACCAGCATGGCCAACCCTCCTGGCATACCCCAACCAACCCTCGAGCCAACCCGGGCCAGTCCTCCCGGCCAACCCCTCTGGCCAACCCTGGTCACCGCAAGGCTGTCCTCCCCGTAAAATATAATACCGACCTAGACATCCACCGTCTCGATGTTCATCCTGCGGGGTCCCTGGAAGGCCCGACCCCTTCCCCAGGGTCGCCCTGCCATCCCGAACCGTTTGTGGACGGTCCCAGGGCCTAGCGAGGGTCCCCAGAGGCCGAAGAGGGCCAAAAAGTTCAGAGGTGATTGTTTACCCGACGCGGAAATGTCGTGGCACAGTCGGAACAGGGACGGAAGAACCAACTACAAGAACAAGAGCCCCTCCGTCGTCAAGAAGCCCTAAAAACAGAAGGTCGCCGAGGGTCCCTTCCGAGGAGTCACCCGACCTTCACTGCCTGGCCGATCGAGGAAGCCAGAGTGATCGCGGAAAGGCATGGCCTGAACCCTCAGCCTTACCAGGACAAACGAACAAAACGATCCAGCTGAAGAAATTTCGAGGATACCCTTCCCCAGGTTGCGCAAGAACATGCAAAACAAACAACAAAACAAAAAATGACGCACCCTCCTCCAACTGAGCAAGCTCTTACGCCTAGCTCCGACCGTGTGCCACAAATCCTGTGGCTGTGGCATCTCATGAGAGCCTCCCATGTCATCTCAATGGCTCTTGCGAATCGACGCTAACCGACGCTGATCGACGCTAATAGACGCTAAATCGGCGCTAGTCGACACCAAATCGACACATTCCCATCGACTACTCAAAGTTGGCGCAAGCCAACGCACCCCAAAGACTGAAACTGCGACGACTTACAAGGTTCATGTGTATGACGTTTTTTTTCGGTTCTCCCCCGATAGAGGCAAGATGAGCGTGCTGATGCTCCGATGCCAGGCCCATCCTGAGCCCAGGATCGGTGCATACGCCCTCCTGCCTCGGCCAAGAGACCATATGCACCGATCCTGGGCACAGGATGGGCCTGGCCAAGATCGGTGCACGTGCATACCCAAGCATGCGACGTCCTAGTTTTTCCCATACGCGGTCGCCAGAAGTCCCGACCCCCTCCCCAGGACCAAGTTGCATCCTGAGTCGTTCTTGGACGGTCCCGGGGCCCGGCGAGGGCCCCCAGAGGCCAAAGACTGCAGAAAGCCTCTCGCCCTGCATCTATCATTAAGTCGGGCCTGCCCCTCTACAGGACGAATATTCAAAAATAATACAAAGATAGTCTGGGGACGGCTTTTTTGTTGACTATGTTTGACCATTTGGGAAAATTCCTGGACTGGTTCGCATTTTTCGTCCAAAATCCGCCTGTAGGGGGACATGCCCGACCTAGATATATCACGACGCGAGCATGTCTGGGCAGCTCTCGTCGCCCGCCCCGAGCCACCGCCGCCGCGTTCGCGCGCGCCAGGCGGTAGAAGTCCAAGAACCCCGCGGGCGCCTGGGCATCGCTGCGCCGACCCCTGTCCCCAGGGGCGTTTCCTGGGCCCCACGGACCGACCTGCCCCCCTCGCTGGGGGTAATAGGCCATCTCCTTCGGCTTCCGAGGGGTAGAGCCCCAATCTGGGGTGGTATTTCTTTCCACCGGACTCGGCCTCGACCACTGCGCGAATCAAGAGGTCGCCAGGCAAACCGGGAATGCTACAGGAGACGAGCGAGAGGCAAACTCGTGCAACGAGCCACGGCCCGAAGGAGGAACGAGCGCGCTGCATGCGTGAAGAGAGGGAGAAGCGAGGAGGAGAGAAGGGAGGCCTTTAGCAGGGCGGGCCAACTGGGGTGAGAAAATGGTGGCCTTGATGGGGCTGGCGGTGCAGAGGCAGGAAGCACGGTCCTCTTGGATCAGCGCTGGACCGTCGTCCCTGGCGCGCGAGAGGCGGCGCCGGAGAGACGGCGCTGGAGCGGCACCGTCAGGGTGGCCCCCAGCACAGATCCAAGAACTCCGGACGCACGCGTCGAAAGGTTATGTTTAAGCAGTTGTTCCTTCCTCTTCATCCCCATCCCCATCAAGAACCCCACCATTTGACCACACCAGCTGGGGATATACCGTATGATATACCTCTCGAAACCGGAAGGAGACGGCCTATACAATCGGACCTAGGCCAGAAGAACAAACCTCAAGACCATGAGACCCTCCGCCGGCCAAAACAAACCGAACATCAAAGGGTACCCTCCCCAGGATGCACAAGAACATCCAACAAGCACGAAGAACACTAGGGTACCCTCCCCGAGCCGACCTCTGGGGAGACCAACAGGTACCGATACTGCTACTCCCCAGACCTCTCCTGGGGTGCGTTCTGACCAGAATTTCGAGACGAATCCAATTGTGGCGACGAGGGCCTCGGAGGAAGCCCAAAAAGGGGAAAACGGGCGGAGGGTAGCGGTATGGGTACCTTTTCCCCCTCTGAAGATCGATTTTAGACCTCGGTCCGACTGTAACCCCCTTTGATGGTTCGGTGGTAACTCATGGGAGCCTCCCGCTCTTGCAAGTCGACGCTAATCGATGCTAAATTGATGCGAATCGACGCTAAATCGACGCTAATCGACGCTAGCCAACGCTAAATCAGCGCTATCTCACCGATTCCCAAACGCTAATCGACGCTCACCGACGCCAAAGACGGATTCAAGAGGGCACACGGGGCTCCCATGATTTGCTACCGAATAATGGGGAATAGGGTTGAGCAGGAACCAACCGTCCCGGCATTCCTATAGGCCTACCACGAAATGTTCTTAGAACCCCAAAATGTTCTAAGAACAAAAGCCATGTTCCTAGAACACAAGCCCGGTGTCTTAAAACAAGACAAGTCTCAGCCAGAAATGCTCCAAGAACATGCCGTGGAAACCACAGAAAGGTCCTCAGAACACTGCTTGCTGGGCCTACAGGCGAGCCAGGACGCTCCACCACTGCTTGAGAGGGGTCGTTTGTATGTCGGGCCTGTCCCCCTACAGGGGGATTGATTTTCCATGAAAAATGAAAAAATACCCCTGAAAATACCCCAGAAAGGCAAAAAAACAGTCGAAAAATGGTCCCCGGACTATGTTTGGAGCATTCTTGGACTATTTCGGGGGGATGTTTATTTTTCGTCGAAAATCCCCCTGCAGGGAGACAGGCCTTAGTGGGCCCTGGAAACGATAGGGCCGTTTTTTGTTACCGGTTCCGTTTTGCCATTTTTTTTGCCGGTTCCGACGCCGTTTTTTTACCGGTTCCGTCGCCGTGTTTTGCGGGTTCCCGCTCTGGTTCCAGTCCTGGAGCCGTTTCTGTTGCCGTTTCCGGCCGCCGTTTTTTTGCCGCTTCCACTTTCAAGGGGCACTCGTTCGGAAACGGTGACAAAACGGCCCTGCCGTTTCTGGGGCCCACTGAGGGACAGGCCCGACTTCAGGGTCGCTTCAACGACCCCGCGCGCCAGCGCGGCCGCGCCCCGGGGCCCGGCGGCCGCGGCCACCGCCGCGCCCCAGCGCCCGCGCGCCGGCGCCGCGAGGGCGCCAGCCGCCGCGGCGAACCGGTCCCAACCTCGGCTGCCTCGACGACGACGGCGACGGCGACGACGGCGACGGCGACGACGACGACGGCGACGACGACGACGACGGCGAAGACGGCGACGGCGACGGCGACGGCGACGACGACGGCGACGGCGAGAAAGATGAAGGTAACAAAGGCGAGGAGGGCGAGGAAGAAGACGACGACGACGACGACGACGAAGAGGTCGAGGACGAGGACGAGGAAGGAGACGACGACGACGAAGAAGAAGAGGGTGAGGACGAGGACGAGGAAGAAGACGACGACGACGAAGAGGAAGGCGAGGACGAGGACGAGGAAGAAGACGACGACGACGAGGAAGAAGACGACGACGACGAAGGCGACGACGACGACGAAGAAGATGACGAGGACGAGGACGAGGAAGAAAACGACGGCGGCGAGGAAGAAGAGAAGGACGAGGACGATGACGACGGCGACGGCGAGTACAAGGACGAGGAAGAGAAGGGACGCGACCGACCATCTTACGACGACGCGATCTGTGCAAGGCGCGAGGGGGGCCGCCGCTGCCAGACTCCACCCTCGGATCCGAGCGTCGCGCAAAACTCGCTCGAAATCGGGCGAGGAAGGTACAAGCCAGCCTTGGGATCCAATTTCGCATCGTCGGTCTCTCAGCGGTTTTCAAGCCTCGGGATCCTCTCCAGCAGCTGCGCCTCGCCTGGATCGTCCCGAACGGCCGCTGGAGACCCGAGTCATGACCGAAAACCAAATCGGTGAACCTGTTCCAGCCTTGGCTCCCTGGCACGTCATTGACTGGAGGCCCCCCACATGGAGTCCGCGTAGATGGGGTCGGAGGATCGCGCCGCATCGCTGATGCATCGGCGCCGCTGGCGTGCAGAGAATTGGGCTCCACATCGAGCCAAGTCGCCGATGTGGCGCGATCCGCCGACCCCATCTGCTCCAGCCCCGCGTGCGAGGCCTGGATTGGCACGGAACTCAACCAGCCGCGGGATCCTTTATCAGCCTCGAACGTATCCCTATCCCTAAGATTGACACGCCAAAAGGCGATGACAATCTTAGGGATTCGCCCTCAAAAAATAGGGGAATCCCTAAGATTGGCATCGTGATGAGGAGGTGCCCAGCATAGGGATAGGGATATGTTCCAGGCTGGTAGATCCTCTCCATCCTCGTCGGATTTCGGCAGTTCCAGCCCTGGGATCCCCTCCAGCAGCTGCGCTTCTCCGAGAGCACTCTGGGGGTACCCGGATCGTCCCGAACGGCCGCAAGACACCCGAGCTATGACCCGAAAACCGGATCGGGGCGTCGCACAAACATCGCGAGGCGCGGCTTCTCTTGGCTTTCTGCCTCTGGAAGCCGTTTCCCAGCCCTGGAACCCACAAAAAAGCGATTGACGATGAAAAGCCGGCCCCGGGGCGGTGGTCGAGATCCCCGGGGAAGCTCGTTGACACGCGGCTGAAAATTTCAGGAGTCAGCTTCTGGGAGGTCTTCGTGAGAACGATTCGGGTCTACTGAGCACGACGACATTCCACTAAGCTAGATGAAGCCAGACAAAACCCGAGATGCAGTCAGATTGAACGGGATTCAGAGAGATCGAACGGGACTGCCGGATTAGGCCAGACATGCCAGCGCCGATGCTGAATGAAGTCCGAGGAGTTGCAACCAAGAACATGGGTATTGAAAACGCGCGCCTGGCACGGCAGATCCTCTAAAACGCAGGCCCGCACGTGTGGAACCGACAAGCAGCGTGTTAAACTCAGCTGTTTGAACAGTGCATGCGTTGCGCTTCAAAAAGGCGCATCAGGGCAGTTAAGCTCCACGCCGTCGTACACAGATGTCGGCACGCGCGCGAAGGCGTCCCAGTCCACGTCTGCGTCGCCGCCTGGGAGACAGAAAGACACACCAGTACTACGCGCTCTTCTTGGCGGCGCACGTCCGAATCGCAAATATATGGCGCAAGCCATCTTCCGGCATTCCACTACCCAGTCGGCATGGCAAAGCAGCGTCCACCTTGAGGCCGCCAGGGAGCCCGAGCAGGTTGGGCCCCGAGAGAATCGGTCGAGAGGGGGGACAGGACAGGACGGGACAGAGTCATGCGCCCCAGGGCGCGTCGGCGGCAAGTGCGGCACTCGGGCGTGCATGAAATCGAGCTGCGTCTTGCAATTGGTGAGCTCCTACGTCACCACAGACACGCACGGCGTGTGGGCATAACCATCTTGCCCATGCCAGCCGCGGGGCCCCGACCCTCCGGACGAACTCGTCGAGAGGGGAAGGTGAATGCAAATCCGTTCAACTTTGGTTCCCAGATCTTGTGCAGTTTTTCACCCTGGACCGTTTCTAATGGTCCCGGGGCCCGAGAACCGCCCGCGGGGGCCGAAAAAAACAACACGCTTGCTCGAACCCACCGCAAACACCCAGCCCGCTCTAGCGCCCACCGAGCCTGCACCGCCAACTTTCACTCAGCACGCGCATCGCACGTACGGGGCCGACGTACAGGCATGGTGGGGGGGGGGCGCACCCCCGCCGACAGCCCCAAATCGACCCCCGCCGGGGCCAACGCTGCCGCGCCCAAAAAAGCAAACCTCTCCACGCGGTGTGCCGACGGGGCGAATCTGACCCACGCCGCGGGCGGGCGGACAGGCCGACGTTGACCCACGTCGGAGGGGGACCCCAACTCCCCCCACGCTTATAACAGTGGAAGCCCATGCCAAGAAGCATCCTGCTTGCCTCCAGGGTGCCCTGGATTTCTGTCTCTTGGGATTCGATGGTTCTGCCGTGGAAGGCGTGACGTTCCCCCACCCACACACACACACAAAACCAATGGACGTCCTGGTGTCTCGGAGTTGGGTGTCTTGTGGAAGGCTTCTTGTGGACGAGAGCGAAATGACCTGCCTACCCTGCTAGCGCGCCCTGGGCTGCGAAAGGGGGGCGCTACCTAGAAGGAACAGGGATGGAGGGAGGGGAGGAGGAGGAGGAGGAGGAGGAGGAGGAGGAGGAGGAGGAGGAGGAGGAGCAGGGCTTTGAGGTGCCACACGCAGAGCACGAGTTGTGTTTGGGTGGTGCCGGCCGCCCGCCGCCAACAGCTCGAGGAAGCGGCAGTACAGGCGATGCCCGCAGAGGGCAGCTGCGCGCCACCACCGCGGCCCGAGCGAGGCTCCCCTGGGCCCTGGTCCCTGGATGACCGCGGGGGTCGCTAAGGGGATGGGGCCCGAGAGCGACGACGACGACGACGACGAAAACGCTTGAAACCCAGCCAGAGATCGAGGTCAAGCCAGCACGCCCGCGACGGGGCGGCCGCTTAGGCCACAGGCGGGTGAAAACTGGCAGGCGTGCTCATGTGGTGAAGAAGGTCTCCTGTCATACACTTCCAGGAATGTGCGTCTTCGGCTGGAACTCTCCAGTCACCGATCCCGCACTTGTCGCAGGAGCACTGAAAACCGTCCTGAACATCAGAAAACTAGGCGAGGAGGCGACCGTATAGACCCCATGTTTCTGCGAAATGCTTCAGGCCAGATCAATATGTGAAGGCCCTGGGCGCAGAGACAAGGCGAAAACACCCGGCGCGAAAAATCGCGACGCTAGGATCTTACTTCGATGACCGTGGGAGCTGCTGAGGGGATGGGGAGGTAATACGTGGGTGCTCAGGTGGCTTAGACATGGCCTCACTTCGCTCACAAGGGGGTCAAAGGTGCCCTAAGCGGCTTAAGCTCTGGACTGAGTGTGCGGCGCCCACTCAGCGGAGTGCTCGAGACCACCCAAGCCCCTTGGGGCACATGTAGCCAACTTATACATTAGTTTACGCCAGATCTTCATAAGCACGAGAGGTACCCTACCCTTTGGGAGGGAACCTAAGTTACCAGGGCTGAACACATTGGGGATAGGGTTTTTCCAGATGTATCAAACGAAACCACCCATCGGTTTAGGGATATCCCTGCAAACCATGTACTCAAGTTGAGCGACGAATCCATTGTGTTATCAGGGTTAGGGGTTGTATCATGCTTCATGGGATCTAACCCACATTGGCGAGGCGGAGGTAGATCCAAATCCACCGCCTGGGGAACCGACGTCCCGGGACCCCAGCGGGCAGTGGATATGGATACAGTTTGGCCCCATGGGTGCCAAAAATATCCATATCCACCACCTTCCGATGTCCCTGAAGATCGTCGGACCCCTAGCATCCACTTGTAACCCCCTGTCCCCTAGCAACCCCTGCGGCAATCCCCATGGCAGTGCGAGCACCGGGCCGCATCGGATCGTCGGAAAATCGAAATCGAATCGGATAGGGCGGACCGAAATCTGTATCAAATAAGACCGATCGGATCGAACTGCGCCCTGCATTGCGTCATGCTGCATGTTCGGGGGACCTTGTCTGTCCCGTCGTACCTCTATCCGCATCGAGTCCGAGTCCAATGCATGCCGAACGCGTCGAATTCACGTCGAGTCCACGTCGAGCCCAAACCGACTCCACATCGAATCCGTGTCAAACCCACGTCGGAGCATCAGAAGACACGCCACTTGCAGGACAAGCAAGGTCCCCCGAAGATGCCAGGCAATGCACTGTAGCAGCGTGCAGGTGCCACCCTGCGGGCGATACCAGATGCTGCCGCGCATCTCCCGCTCGCCCTCGTCGGGCGCCGTGCACACGTGAGGGCCGCAGCGGCCGCAGGTGCCCTCGTCGCAGTCGCCGCAGTACTCCACCCGGGAGAGCAGCACAACAGTGCAGGCAACAACAAAAATCGGGGGTGCCAGTGTTAAACCGGACGTGTCCCCCTACAGGGGTGGCTTCGACGAAAAATAAAAAAATCCCCAGAAATGCCCCAAAATGGTCAAAAAATACTCAAAAAATAGTCCCCTGACTATTTGTTGACTGTTTTTGATTATTTTAACGGGCGAAGAACGGTATAACATAAACTTTTTCGCTGTCGGGGGCGCCTGTCCCTGGGCGGCTGGAAAGTTTATACCCTTACGGTGCCACCGTAGGGGTATAAACTTTCCAGCCGCCCAGGGACAGGCGCCCCCGACAGCGAAAAAGTTTATTTTATACCGTTCTTCGCTCGCTGATTATTCCCCCTGTAGAGGACGGGCCCGACTGAATGCCAGTGCCCGACGCCCTCGCGTCGCGGGAAAGTCACGGCGAGAGGCCTCCCCCGGGGCTCCGAGGGGACCCCGGCGCCCTCGAAAAAACGGCTCGGGGCACAGAAACGGTCCCCAGGAAGAGTCGGGTCGGGCGAAAGGGGGGGGATAGCACAGGGGGGGGGGTTGAGAACCAGCTCACGTAGCTGATCTTCCCGGCGCCTCCCGGCGCCGCCGGAGGCGGCGATGCATCGAGGAACGGGCCCCTCGGTGAGGCCGAAACCAGCTGCATGCAGCAAATTTCGTACCCCCCCCTTTCCCAATCCTCCCCTTTCGTCCGGCCCGGACGAGGTCCAGACCTCTGGGGAGCGACGCTGTGAAGAAAGCATGACGTCGGATACATCTAGGTGCATCGGTCCCAGATCTCCAGCTGCTCTGAAAAAGGTACCCCTTTGTGATCCTGGAAACGATCTTAAAGCCGTGAGCTGGATCTGCGCAGATCTCGTCGCCCTGCCCCAGAAGCCGAAGAGACGCGCCGAGACTGGCCGCCGCGGCATGCGTGCGACGCCCGCCCGGATCTGGCTCTCGGGTCATATACGTAGCTCGGGTCGCCGTGGCGGCCGCTCGCGGGCGACCCGGGCCCCCCCCCGGGAACGCTCTCGAAGCCCCCCCCCCCCCCTGCGCCCCCGTGCGCCCCCCTGCGCCCTCTCCTCCTCCCCTCCTCCTCCTCCTCCTCCTCCTCCTCCTCCCCTCCTCCTCCTCCTCCTCCTCCTCCTCCTCCTCCTCACCCTCCTCCTCACCCTTCTCCTCCTCATCCTCCTCCTCCTCCTCCTCCTCCTCCTCCTCCTCCTCCTCCTCCTCCTCCTCCTCCTCCTCCTCCTCCTCCTCCCCCTCCTCCTCCTCCTTACCCCAGGGGCCGGCTCCTCTCACCGAGTCGCTCTTCGCCGGCCCCCCCCCCGCGCCCTGCGAGAGCCCCCCCCCCCTGGAGGCCGACCACTGCCAAAGATTATGTCGGGCCTGTCCCCCTACAGGGGGATTTTCGACGAAAAATAAAAAATACCCCAAAAATAATCCAAAAATAGTCCTAACATAGTCTGGGGACTATTTTGGGGGTATTTGGGGACCTTTTTGGGGGCATGTTTGGGGTATGGCTTATTCTTCGTCGAAAATCCCCCTGTGGGGGGACACGCCCGACAGAAGCCAAAGACCTTCCGTCGCCACAGTTGGGTCGGGCGTGTCCTCCTGCAGGCCGATCTTGAACGAAATAAAAAGAGAACACTCGGCACAAACTATGGAAACGCAGTCCAGAAATAGCCGACAGTTCGCCCCCAGACTGTCTTGGTGCCTGTGCTTGAACATCCCTCCTGTGGAGGGACATGCCCGACTCAAGCTCAAAACCGTCCGTCGCTATATTTTGCTTCACGGCGCGAGGATCTCTGGCGGCCGCTCGGGGCGATCCGGGCACCCCCTGGAGCGCCCTCGGCGAGGCGCAGCTGCTGGAACGCAGCCCGAGGCAGGTAAACCGCCAGGAACCGACGAAGACGTCAGAAAGAGTCAGGAGGAAGGCGGGCAAATCCGATTCCTGCCTCGCCTCCATCCTTCGCGAGTCGTCCTGGCAGGGGAACCTCCATGAACCGACGAGACATGTTGGAATAACAGCCAGATCTTTTGAAACGACGCGAGGAGGCGGCGACCCTACCGCTTGCGTTCAAGATTGGACACCGCCAGCGGCCGAAAAATCGGCCAACACGGAGCGACTTGGGGAAGGTTGAACGATCCACACGGTGTCAGAAACCATCACCTAAATGGCCACGACCCGAACCCCATCCGTAACCTTGGAGGGCTTGGGGATGGGCACAAACACCAACACAGGGGGGGGCCTCCACCGGGGGGAGATGATCCCAGATTGTGGTGCTGGTGGCAATCTTCCGGCAGTCTGGGAGGCCCGAATATCACCACCGTCACCGAGGTCTGCATCACGCTCCCTCGGTGGAGGCACACCGCCGACACTGGTGCTGCTGCTAACCTCTCCAGACCTCCGAGAACCAGTGTTGGCCAGAGGGGTCATCCCCATGAGGCCTTTCTCGGCAGCTCTCTCACGATAGCTCTGCCCGTGGGGGGCCCTCGCCCGGCGACGGGCCCCGCAGAAGCACGGCCCTGGATGGACACGTCTGGTCCAGGTGGCAAACATCGAAACGGCGGAAACAGCCGAGACGGTGGAGACAAAAGAGACACTGGAGACGTAGCGCCCACTTGCAACCCCTCCCAGATCCTCCTGTAAGACGAAGCCAGGACGGGGCGGAAGTCGGGTGAGGATAACTTCAGAATCTCTACGCTCTGGCGGCTCTGGAGGATGTCTCGGGCGCCGCGGCCTTCCCAGAGTGTTCCAGAACGCTCTGAGAGCGTTCCAGAACGCTCTGGAATCCCCCGTGGAGGCGCGCGTCCAACCCGAGCATACAGTACACCCATTTTGTGGCGCTCGCCACGACGCACATGAGATTTCACGGTGCGCGCGTCGCCCCTGGGGGGGGGGGCGACGCACACATAGTATTAGTATGTTGGGGTGACGCCATTTGGAGTCCCGAAACGACCGTATTAGTATGTTGGGGTGACGCCATTTGGAGTCCCGAAACGGTGCGGTGACAGACCGTGCGGTGACCTCGAAATCCCCAAAGACCTCACCGCACGGTCCGTCACCGCACGGTCTTGGGACCCCGGAGGCCCCTGTCGCCCGAGACATCCTCGGAGAACGACCCGAGTCCCAAAACCTTGCGGTGACCCCAAATCCCTACCGACTCACCGCACGGTGGTGTGGTCACCACCCCGTTTGGGGACCCCCGACGCCAATAGATCCTGGCCCCGTCCGACCGGAGCGGCGCGTGCTCTCCCGCCCGCGGCGTCCCCCAGGCAGCGGCCGCAGGCGTGGCGGGCGCCCGGCAGCGCCGCGCACAGCAGGGGCGCCTCCAGCAGCAGCACGGCGCCCGCGCCGACGTCGAGCGCCGGGCGGCGCCGGAGGGGGCGGGGCGGGGGGCCTCCGCCGAGAGGGGGCGCCCTGCTGGGAGGACTGCCGGAGTTGCCCGAGGGGGACCAGGGGGGGGGGAGGAGGAGGAGGAGGAGGAGGAGGAGGAGGAGGAGGGAGGAGGAGAGAGGAGGAGGGAGGAGGAGGAGGAGGAGGAGGAGAGGAGAGGAGGAGGAGGAGGAGGAGGAGGAGGAGGAAGAGGAGGAGGAGGAGGAGGAGGAGGAGGAGGAGGAGAGGAGGGGTAAGTGGCGTGGGTGGGTTCGCGAAGCCCGCTAAGGCACTTCGGGCACTTCCAGCCCACTTACAAAAGCTGTGTGAGGCCTTGTACAAGATACCTTAGCCTCCACATGTAACCTCCCCATCCCCGTAGCAACCCTCGCGGTCATCAAAATAAGACCCTGGCTTCGCGATCTTTTCGTGCCGGGCGTTTTTCGCCTGGTTTCGGCCCCCGGGGACCTCACGTATCGATCTGGTTTGAAACATTGCGCAGAAAGCTTCTGGTTAGATCCACAATTAGGCTTGCCTGAGGCTTTCTTCGTTGGTACATGATTGATGTCTCGGGACCCTACTTTGCCCATTGCTCGGAGATTCTTCGGATTCCGAGGCTTCCTCGGGTTTCCCAGGTTGCCCGCCCTCGGTGTCTCGGGACCCTGCTGGGATGACCGTGGGGGGTTCTAAATGGATAGGGGTTACAAGTGGATGCTAAGGTGGGTTATGTCTGGCACAACCTGGCTTATAAGTGGGTTGCACATTCCCAAAGTGGCGCAGGGGGTTAGATAACTCCGCTAAGTGGGCGGAGCCCGCTTGGCCCGGATCCTTAACCACCCCAGGCTACTTGGGGCATGTGCAGCCCACTTATAAAAGCCAGGTTGGGCCAGATATGATCCACCTTGGCACCCACTTGGAATCCCCCCCTATCCGCTTAGAAACCCCCACGGCCATCCCAATACTTTGCCCGTTGCTCGGAGAGTCCTCGGGTTCCCCGGATCCCTCGGGCTCCCAGGGTTCCCCGGCCTCGGTGCCTCGCGAGGGGCTACCCTGCCCGCTGCTCCGAGGTTCCTCGGGGCGTCCTCGGCCCCCCTGCCCCCAGCGCCTCCACTTGTGACGTTGCCCGTTTCCCCGAGGTTCCTCGGTTTCCCCGGGGTCCCCGGATTCCCCGGCTTCCCCTGGTGTCCCGGGATCCTCGGGTTCCCCGGGTTCCAAAGGGTTCCTCGGGTTCCACGGGTTCCTCGGGCCAATGCCAGGCAATGCCACGAATGCCAACCCATGAAAAGCAATACCACGCGATGCCAAACAGTGCCAAGCAGTGCCAAGCAACGCCAATCAATGCACAGCAATGCCAACCATGCAACGCAATGCCAAGCAATGGCAAGCAGTGCCAAGCCATGCAAAGCAATGCCAAGCAATGCCAAGCAATGCCAAGCAATGCCAAGCAACGCCAAGCGATGCGCCAAGCGATGCGCCAAGCGATGCGCCCATGCAATGGGCTTCCTCCTGATTCGGGCCGCGCCGGGTTCATTGCCAAACGTTTTCGTGGTTTCCGTCGCGATCGGGCCCCAGCACCATCGCAGACCGAGCCGGCTCAAAAAGAATGCAGCAGAACAAACGGGGTCTTGAGCTCTGGCCGCCATTTGAGCGGGGTTGCAATGTTCCGTGACGTCGGATCACGAGGCTTTCGGACGTGTTCAGCGGTGCCTGGAGGAGGAGGAGGAGGAGGAGGAGGAGGAGGAGGAGGAGGAGGAGGAGGCGTTGCCCTAATCGAAACGGGGCGCGGCGCCCCCCCACCGCGCGCCCGCCGCCCCGCAGGGTGACCCCGCGCGGCCAGCCCCGCTCTGCTTGGCCCGCAACGATGGAGTCTCATTGATCTCTCGATCTTGCCTCTTTCGTCTCTGCCGTGTATTCTTCTGAGATGCCTGGCCACGAGATATTACCCGCGCCTTCCGTGTGGAGGCCGCAAAGTGCGGCTACAAAAGCAATGAGGAGGCTGGGCTATGCGTGCAGAACTAGGAAGTTCAGGTTCAACCCACATGACATATGCGTCTTATGGAGAGCTGCTTGTAGAAACAGCGTCGGTTGCAGTGCAAAGGCCACCCATTGGTCTCAGTTGAATCCTTCAGCTCCCGTCTTTGTGCCAGCCCAGGCATGCGATAGCGCGTGTGGTGAGGCTGGTAAAGAGGATCGTCAGCTCAGTACCAACTTGGACGCAGATGCATGCATGCTCTTCCCAGCATTCGGAATTGCACCAGGCCTCGAAGCCTGGATGGAGGATTGCGAATTCTTGGGGCCTCACACTCTCTTCCGTGGTTCCCTTCCTCTTCACAACATTCCCACTCGAGAAGTGCAGCCCGATCTTTTCAGGTCCAGCGCTGGGCGGCAAGTGTCGGCAGGCGAAGTCGAGCCAGGCCCGCCCCAGGACCCCCGCGTGGCGGGGAGCAGGGTGGATTGCGAGAAGCTGCAGGCAGTGGAGCCCAACGTTATCAGGCTGGTTGCTGGTGAAGGCGAGCCAGGCCCGCCCCATGACCCCTGCGCTGCGGGGAC